GACACCTAGCATTTTTTTTTCCACCCATTTGACTCTTATATTATAATTCTTGCAAATTTTGACACAAAAATTTAACTTTCTTAAGGTACCGGTCTACAACAAGTCAAAAGCTGGCCACACCCCTGCACATTTCTATACGTTTACTCTCTTAAGTCAACTGAAGAGTCTATTTCCTCAACACCTGCTTAAAAAAAACCCTGGCAATGACGGACACAAATAGTTACATGATAACTGTACATGTATTTATGAAAATGTTCATGAATTTGTAACTAGATTAATCTTGAGTAGTCTCGCAAGTCAAATATTTGTACAATTTTCATAATTATTTACTATCAACATAATCATATCTTAAGTTGCCAGATATAAACTGTTGTGTTCCACTTACTTTTCACTCATAGCAGCATCCATGAGCAAAGTTAGAAGACCTTGAATTTCTTCCTTATTTTCTAAAATATTTAAATATGAAAAAAAAGTTAATCATGACACAACACTATATATCATAACCATGCCTCAATTTCTGCCAGATTGTAAATATATACATAACACATGTTGGAAACATTGTGCCCTTATCAAAAACAATGTGCACTAAAAACCTTTACCAGATGAGGGTAAATTTTATCTGAATGGACCAATCAGAGCGCTTTGTTCCCTTCCCATTGCATGTCATGTTACAAATCCAAAAAGAAGGTACACATGTATAGACTGACAGATAAATTCATTCTAATGTGTACAAGACAATGTCTACTTTACAATTGAGTAATTTGCTGTGTACCTAATTCCTGTGGTGGTTGTTGATCCTTCAGTTTCTTTTTGTCTGGTGGTAACGGAACAAGTGACTCCAGGGCTTGTTGTGGGACTAAAACAGCTGTTGTTGAAACTTCAGTCACTGGCTGAAGATTAAAATACATATTGTTAGATCTTGTGTCAAGTTGTTATCAAGTTGTTATCAAGTTGTTATCAAGTTGTTATCAAGTTGTTATCAAGTTGTTATCAAAACAACTTGACATGAGATCTATCAAGTCAAAGTCTATGTCTGCAAGCTCCATAGACCTAACTATGAAGTTTGCTTTGATCATTGCATGTCCAAGAATTTACATTTAGGAAAATGATAATTCCTCCATAGAATATATCAACCTAATAACCAAATACTTACTGATTCAATCAGAGTTAACAGCCTTGACAAAGAAACTTCCTTTAAAACAGATAATGTCTAAAACAAAACAAGCAAGGGTGAATTGGGTCAGAATATTTAATAATATTTTCCTTGAGATAACTCACTGAAAAACTTGTGAATGAGTGAAACTATGGAACATGCAAACTGAAACACGACACAAATGAAATACATATGTAGCTATAGATCAGCCTGAACCATAGAAAGACATCCTTGGATGTTTCTCTCATAGATGTATCCAATAAATGTAGTGACAAATCAATTAAATAGATAATTTGGGAATGATATGTTAGTGTTTAATATGTTGATTAAAAAGTATCTTGCCTATTGCAGTTGACATCCTCATGGTTCATAATTTTCTGATTCACATGTAGTTAAAAAAATGCTTCACTTAATTTCAAGTTACCCTCAATTTAGAGTTGGTGCACAATCCTTTAAGGACTTTCAGCATTGCCACTGTCTGTTCATCAGACCCACAGTTCAGCAAGGATACCACTCTTGGTAATTCACCTTTAAAAAAAAAATTATATTATGTCCTTATTAACCAGGTAGAAGGGCAGGGAATTTGACATGGTGGAAAAAAAAACATGGATTCATAGTTTAAGTAACAGACATAGATTACAAAGTTGGTTAGGTAGTCAGGTTAATTGTGGCTGTAAGTTTTGCACCATTTCAATTCACATGGAGGGACTTTAGTGACTTAAATGAATATTAAAACCAGTCAGTTAAGATGTTTTTTCAGACAAAATTTGAACTTATCAATTGGCCAAATATGTTAAAAGCTTACATAAAAGTACACTGTTGGGAAATATGACCACTAATTAAAACTGATGTATTAGCTAAGAGTAAATTGTAATTGATAGATAAAATTATAAAAAAAACCAACCTCCTCTAAATATCCTTTGAGCTCCTGGTTCATCATTAGCTAAAATCACAAGATTCTTAATGGCCTAGGATCATAGAAAAAACCAAGCTGTGATATCATCACTCTGATCTATGAAAAGTATAAATAATTCTTGCAGTCACTGCTTCAAAAAAGAGGATTAGCCTCCAATCATTTAACAAATTTGGATGTCCATGCTAGAGAGACTTGGGCAACACAAAACTCTGTTAATGATTATTTTAAGATAACTGAAATAGTACAACCACCCTGGTTGGTCAAAATTCTAACATTTATTGCACCAATAAATTCATTGAAAATATTTGGTTCTCAGGAAATAATTATTTAGTCTATGACTTTTAAGAAAATAAACCATACTGAATTTTCATGACTTTCCGAGCCTGAGACACATTCGATGTTGTCAGTAACATTTAACCCTTTAACTCCCAAGATCTCATTAGTAATTCTCCTGACTGTCTACCATATAGTTGTTGTGATGTCAGTTTGGAGAATTTGGTATTGAATCAACAAATAATCTCCTCATTAATATTTTCCTTTATTCTCATCACTTGTCTGCTTGCTATGGTATTGATATTGTTAGGAGAAATTCTGTATTGATCACTCATGGGAGTTAGCATAAGACATGAGCCCTTACTTGCTTTCTTTTCTCTTCACTTTCTTCCTTACTGAAAAGGGAAGTAAACATCTCCCCCACAAGACCATCAGTGGTGCGGCATCGATCAGTCTATAAATGAAGAATATCAAGGTCTAGAAGGCACATAGTCAATTTGAAAGTTTTTGAGTCAAGTGAATCAACAATCCATGAATCATGAGTCACACAGTTACTGTTGGTACCTTTGCTTGTAACTGTGCTCCAAGTCTCTTAAGAGTCTCCTGAACAGTGGTATTCTGGAACATGAATTATTCAGTTAGTATTATTTAATGGAAGCAACTCTAAAATAAGTGAATAAAGAGGGTAAGTTTCTTAAGAGACTGTGGTGCTGCATCCCTGGGAGAGTATAACAGGGTAATTTAGTATTATCAATTGAGTTGATAAAATAAATTGGTCACTGTTAAGGGTTTCAAAGCTAACGTTTCAAGCAATAGCCCTTCGTCATTTGCTCTGACAAAGGACTAACACTCAAAACAACAGCTTTGAAACTCGTTACAGTGATAATTTACATTTTCCACTTCTCTTGATAATTCAAAATTACCAACTCTAAAACAGTTCTGGTATTAGTATAGTTTGTATGTAAGGAATCTGATATCATACACTGTACCTTTGGTTCAATATGGATGAGAGTCCTTGCATCTCGGAATGCAGCCTCAAGTCTTCCAAGTTTTTCTTGTCCCTGGCATCTCCTAAAGAGGGCTTTTGTATCATTTGGTAATGCCTCCAGTGCTACCAGAAAAAAACAAACAAACAAATCTACAAGTCAATTAGTTTCAAACATTTCAATGTTAAAATTACAATTTCAGGTAGCACATCTTAAAAAAAAGTTCTTTAATTGTCACCTTGATTAATTACAAGAACAAGATCAGAAAAGAAAAAGTGTAGAAGTCTTGTCCTAAAGAAATGACATAACATTATGAAATCAAATTATGTTATAACAATAAATTGCATATCAATTTTTGATGACAATCTTTCCTTAGACTTCAAATAATTAACCTACCCTCAGTTGCATCAGTTACAGCTTCTTCATACTTCTCCTGAAATTGAAAATAATTACTATATAATCAATACATGGAGAGGAGTGTTTTGCTCACTCCACCACAGTGTTGAGTTGAATTGTACATGTTTTGTCTTTACTTGGCCTCAATCATTTTAAGCTGTCGCAAGGGACTGAAAATCAATTTTCTGATCCAGTCAAACCCAGTAGAAAAGTGAAAAAAAAGATGTGTTCTCTGTCAACTTTTTAAGGTATGGATCCATGTTTTGTTCCCTTTGATTTATGGCCAAGCTCATTGAGGTTCAGTGGGCCACAAATCAAAGTAAAAAAAACTGGGTCTGCAATTTTACCAACTCTGATGTTGACCTTGGTTAGTAGAAATCTACATATGTTATAAAAACCAGACCCGTTAAAACAGCATGTATAATACTCACAAGTTTCAAATAACAAGCTGCCCTGTTCTTCAGAATCACTCCTCTATCTTTCAGTTTTCCTTTGTCCTTTTCTTCTGGTGTAAATAATTTGAGAGCTTGAGTGTAACAGGATGCTGCTAGTTCATATTTCTCTTCCTTGAAATACTGATTTCCCTCTGTCTTGAGGTCAAGGGCACCTTGGTGTTTGGAATCCTTTGGATAAAAAAATTCTCAGGTAAGGATTCAGTCTGCATATCAGACTAATTAGCATGACTGGAAGAACTTGTCCTGTTTCTGTTGCTTAAAGCAACTGTAATATTATTACTTATTACACTCCTGTTGTCTATAGAATACTACTGATAATAATTGTAGGTTATCCTTGAGTATTTTCAATAGATCTCCCTCACAGTTCTCAGTTACATATCCCCCTCTACACTCCTGGGTGAAATAGTGAGGATCTTCCTGTTTGAAAAATTTAGTCTCATGTATGGCCCTCAATCACAGCATGATGACCTTGCTATTCCTCAGACCTGGCCTTTTCTAACACCAGACCAGGTTCCAGTCTATTTTTAAGTTAGAGATTTATCTAGCAGATAGTATTACCCACCCTTTAAACTAAAGTTATCTTTTCAGATGTTCTCCCAACATCCAAATAACAAAATGGCATTTCACTGATAAACTGCATGTAGATATTTCTATCAAACTAAATCTATAGAAGAGGGTAAGTTTTGAAAGAAACTGTAGTGCTACATCAGTAGGGAAGTATAACAAGATAATTTTGGTTTTATCAATCATGATCATGATGTAAAATGGCAACTGTAAAGAGTTTCAAAGCTTATATTGCAAGCACTAACCCTTCATCAGAGCAAAACAAAGGGCTAATACTTGAAACATCAGCTTAGAAACTCTTTACAGTGGCCAATTTACATTATCAACTCAGTTGATAAAACCAAAATTATCTTAATCTAAAGAAGGGTGATATTTTCAGGAGGTGTGGTACTGGGGTCCTTTAGGGTGTGTTGTATTCAAAAAATGAAACTTCTTCCCCATTACATGAACACAATGCCATTTTTGTTGGTCGAGATTCCAACACTGCAACCCTGGAATCTCATTTAAATGATATTCTCTCGTGTATTCACATTCGCTTCGTCTGCTCGACAGAAGAAATAGTTCCCTAAAACCGATATTCTTACTGAAAACGATCAGAACTTACAAATGGTGAGATTCTGACCCGTAACAAATGCTCTGGGAAGGGCTGCTGAAGCTGGTTTCCAGTATGACATTGGTGTTATATTTGATCATCACAAACAGCATATCATGTATTTTTAATAATAGGACTAAACCTCAATTAACTTGTGTAGTGTCGATCTCCATATTTGACTACACGTGAAACCGACCTCATATCTGTTTTATCTTCACACTCTATGTTTTCCAGCTAAAATATAAGATCACGCATATTACCTTTTCCATTACGATATTGTGTACTTGCTACGCTTCCTTGGCCACATTTTCAGACAAATCTGTTTTTAAATCAATTAATTTCGTTAACTTCCACGAAAAAGTTGTCAAGTTTCAGTATCGAATCGGCCACTGCAGAGCCGACGACTAGAATACTTGTGTACAGCGGTATTCTTGATATAATTTATACAAGGTGTTTGTTTACATCAAATCAAGATGGCTGACGAAGTGGAAACCGAAATAGAAACTCCCCTCTCTTCAAAACGCGCTGAACATCGAAGTTCGGCGTCGTTTCTCAGTTCGCCAATAACTTCCTCGAATGAAATTACACGAGTCCCTCTTCATCGTATACGATGCGGGACACTTGACATAAAAAACGAGGAACGGTGGTTGGAGTACGAACCGCTCTCTAAACATTTAAGATTCCTCCACAAAGACCGGAAACACCTGGACCACGAGCACTGCACTCTCCTAGATTGTCGAAACATCTCCGCGGCTGATCTGCGAGTCAGTGCAAAGTTTGGTTACCTCGATGCAATGAAGGGAACTCTTACTGTTGAATGTCAAAAACTCATACAAGTCGACAGTCCTCACTGCGATGCGAGAATTGCTTCATGTAGTTACATTGTGGAGGTGACCTTTCACGTCAACCACACGGGGCAAGTGAGGGATGTTCTTCGTTCATTGCGGAACGCAAAGCAACTAGATTCTTCTTTTGATGGTGAAACGCCGTCACGGGAAGGAGAAAGTGAAGGAGTGGCCATGGTTTGCCGCGAGAGGAAGTTGAGGGAAGGTCTTCCTGATTGGACACCATATATTCCTCATCGAATCTACTCACCAGCTGTGCGCGGGTTAATCGAATCAGTGATCACGCTTTATACAATTTTTTCCATCTTGTGGGCGTTGTGGCAACTTCACCGGCATGTCGACTTCATACGAGCTCATGTCCAGCCCATTATTGATGCGTTAAAGTATCATGTGCAACTCATGGACGAATGTATTCACTTTTTGAACGGTTTGTTTGAAGAGGTGACGGAACAGTGGCTGGCGTATGTCAAACCAGGATATGTCATACTCTCTTCCTTCGCGTCACCCCTGATTGCTGTTGGACACGAAATATTGTTTGCAGTTGTAAGCTTTTCAACTGCTCTTGCAGTGATCTTTCGACCCTTGTATCTCTTGTTTGAGCCGCTTTTCAAACTAATCAACATGGTGTTTATAAAGACTCCTTATGCTGTCTTCCAGCCATTTTTTTCTTTTACATCAAAATGCTGGTCATTGTTTTACAACACTGTGTTTTGTCGTCTAGTTTTAACACAGATATCTAACATTAAACAAGTGTTCAGTTGGTTGGTGGAAATCCTTGAAAAGAGCATGAAACTCGATCCTTTCAAAGCGCAGCTAGTATTAATGAGATCCACCGTCATAAACAGCGGTAAAGCTCTGAGCCTTGGTCTGGTGTATTTATTCAAAGGCATTGAACGCAGAGTTTGGTTGATGATTGCAAGGCCTGCTGAGGACAAGGATGAGTAATAAGGGGGTGGCAGTCTGTAGAACACCATTATTTACAGGTCTAACATTGAATTCCAATATATATGAAATTAAATTGATGATATATTTACCACTGATGCTGATATCAATTACTGAATTACTCAAAAAATTGTTGTGTTGCATCTCTCATCATTTGAGAATTGTTAATTGGTTTGAGAAAATTAATTTATCCAAATACAGTGGGAGTTGAAATTAATAGCTAGTATATGACAAATGTTAACATTTATCCTAGATGATCAAAGTTTATATATTGTTTACTCTAAAGAAAATCTTGAGAGAATTTCATAAGTATACCTAGATTTCAAGAAAAGTTCAGATGAAAATGAATCTCTTCTGTGATAGAACTTTTAGCAAATAGTAACTATCAGTTCAAACACAAACGCTGTATAAATGTGATTTAAAGTGAAAAATTCCCTCGACATAGCACTAGTAGGGATATATCAGGCTAAATTTATAGATGTTAGATCGGAACTGACCTAAATATATATTATGATTATTTATGTCTGTACAAACATGTAAAAAAATAGTCACTTCCTCCAGTGGCACCAGTGTCTGCATTATCTACATGGTAAAAGTAGTTATGCTGAAAAGTCACAATACTATCTAAGACATTATTATAGATAATCTATATGTTATTGATAATTCATACTATGATACCCAATGGAATCCATTTCTGTTATATTTATATGGTTCTTTAAATGATGTGAAATGACCCTCCATTAATTCAAAATGACCCATCTAATGTCCTGCATGGTAACTGGAGAAAAAAAAAACATTTGGATGTTGATATTTATTACACACATGCATGGTACTATTTATTTCTTGAAATTGTCAGAAAACCATTTTAAAATTTATTAAACAAAATTTAAAAATGTTGTAGAGGTCTTATTACAATTCTCATAATATTTTCAAATTAAGCAATGATATTTGTTGGTGGAAGCTTGTTTTGAAAATGATTTCTAACTTCAAAGGAGAATAAAACTATGGTTGATACTTGCTGTGATTATAATGGGACTGGAAAAATCAGTGAAAATAAATATTGTGTAACCTGATTATTGTTTAGTAGAGTTTAAAGGTTTTTTCAAATGAACACTTACCAGTAGTGGACAACTACAGTTGAAGCTGTATTAAGCAGCCGGTATTAAGCATACACCCTGTATTAGGTGGTCAGTTGTCAAAGCTCTGAAATGATTTCTCCTTAAACACTATCATTTTGACCTCTATTCGGCCATTGTGGTTACGCTGAATCCCAAAGACCTGTTTGTATTGTCATCCACCAGAATTGACTGGTCACTTAAAGTGGAACCACTCAAAAAATTAAGAAAAGCTGTCAAGTAAATTTAACCCATGTTTATCTCCCAAAATCCATGCTTGTAGTGTCTGAGTGAGTTTTTTATATGAACAATCAATCAAGGCATAAAATGTCATTTTTATCATTTTTTATAATTATCATTTACTGAGGAATCTGTTTTAAGCAGTCAACCTGTGCTGAGTAATCAGCCAACCATTACCCTTGGGTGACAACTAACAGGTTCAGCTGTACTCTTCATGGATCAATCATCCAATAAACAGAAGGAATCTTTTGCTCTGTTTTATTCCTAACTCTGAGTTGAGGTTGCTGCCCTTCTACAAAATCTGTAGTCAGTTCCAGAGATGAAAAATACACAACCTTTAATTTTCGTCGCATGGCCCTTCACCTCACCCCACCCCACCCTGCTGCATTCCTTGCTCCCACGGCTCCCGGATTCCAGTTCCTTTCAGGTCTCTCTCCCAAACTCCTCTCGTCCTAGATACCCAGTTATTGAATTCAGCGGTTTCTCAAAAAATCCAACATGGCGGCCAAATGCGTTTTCCGTCCTTCAATCGCTAGTTTTAGACTTTGTGGATCAGGTAAGGGAAGAATTTTATTTTGAACTGTATGTAGTTAACAACAGTACTCACCCTAGAAAAATTTCCCAGAATAAATCATATTACGATTCTCTTTGTGACCGGCTCAACCGTCCGTCAAGAGTAGGGTTTACATAATTTCTTCATTTTATTTCCAAGGTGCTTTGAGGTGTCTTGAGAGAATACACAGCTGTCAAAGGTCTTTAACACAGGAATCAAATTATTTTCATTCATCCGGTAAGTAATTTTCGTTTCGAAATCTGGAATAAATTTTGGAGAAGCTTGATAGGGCCCTCAACCTTGAGAATGGCAGAAAACCATAAAAAGACCTTCCTCACACATAAAAATTCTTTCAACCAGTCTAGCTAAGCGAGCTCATATGACCACTCCTAATGCCTCATCAAAATGTCAATGTGTTCAAAAAGTCTTAAATGCAGAAAAATTATACACCTGGCCTAAAAATTTCTCATAATTAGAACTTGAGCCCTCTTACAGTGACAATACGTTAAAGATCGCACTTTATTCATCAATTTATTTTCACTGAGACCATACATTTCACAGCCCTTTTGTCCAAAGCAAGAACAAGAAGTCAATGGAGGAAAGACAGAGCACCAGCACTTACCAAGGTAA